GATTGTTTGATATATTATTGAGATTTTAATCGGTTTAGTTTTATTTATTGGATGACTGGAGGTTTTAAAATAATTATTGTAACTAAAAAGTTTATTATTTATGGAAATATATATATGGTAGTTATACCATTAAAGTTTTGATTATATTATTTAGTTATAAATATTTAAAGTATTATTAAATTTTTAAGAGTTTGATTTTGAGGTTTAAACTTAAAAAGAGAGTTTTTAGAATTTAGAAAATAATAATTTTATATTTAGAATTGTGGAAAATCCTTTTTATTAAGGTAAATAATTTGGAGGTGGTAAATAAATAATTTGGGTTGTTAGAAATTTTAAGTTGTTTCTAAAATACTTAATAATTTTTGAGTTATGAGAGTTGCGGGAATTTAGAGTAAAAATTTAATTTAGAAATTTAAATAATATAGAGAAGTTTAATTAATTAATTAATTAATTAATTTATATTAATATGTGGTTATATTAATTGTGTAGATTAATTATTGGTTGAGCAAAGGATTGACCTTGTGGTAATCCTTAGTATTACCTTGGCGAGAGGTAACCACTTTCCACTTGTTATATGTGCTAATATATTGTTTGTGAGTATTTTGCTATTTTGGTATAATGATTTGTTATTTGAAACTCGAGTAGATAAATTATATCTTTTGAGTTATGAAAATTGTCTTGTGGGATTTTTGGAATTGTGATTGATAAGTTTGGAAAAGATATACGATTTATATCTTATGGATTACACTGGGAAAAGATTGAGACATTTTTGTTATATTTTGAATGGTTGGTGGTTATTTGGATTTTGGATTGAGCGCTATCCTACCACGTGGTAAGGCCGCCATTGGTGCACATTGGTTGGCTTCTTTCTTCGTCCCTAGAGTAAGGGATAGACCCTTGTGGCTTTTTATTCGTCCCCCAAAGTGTGGGATAGGCCTATAATAAGGGATGAACCTTTGTGAATACTTAATCGTCCCCCAAAGTGTGGGATAGGCCTATAGGTCGGTTTGATCCCTTATAGTGAGGGATAGACTTATGTGGCTTGTGTGTTAGCCCCGTAATGAGGGTTTGAATGATTGAGATTATTTGAGTATACATATTTGTATTTTCATTGGTATATAGATATTGAGGTTTAATAATTATCCCACTTGACACCTCACGAGCACATGTTAGTATGTATGATGAGTTGGAAAGTTGGTTACTGAGGCGTTTGTCTCACCCCGTGGTTTAATATTTTTAGGCGATAGTTCAGGTGGTGGCCCATCAGGGAAGGCTCCGGAGGCATAGTGTGCTGTTATAGCTTGTATAGCCTCCCTGCTTTTGTTCTATGTGCTGATTTGTTATATATTGCCACATAGGGCTCATGTACTATCATGATGTAAAATAATACTTTTAATTACTACTATCTGGTATGACAGGGCTGCGAAGAGGCCTGAGACATCTTAGACTCTGCATGTAACGCTGCTTCGAAAGTGTTGACTTTTGACTAATGAGCTTTATAGTTTATATTAAACTGATTTATCAGTTCGTATGTTTGAAAATATAAGTTTGGTTTGGGCTAATGGTTGAATGATATTTCTGGACTTTGAAAGTCCAAGGCCCAAGTGAACGATCAATGTGGCTCGTAATATAAGTTTATTCCTTTTAACCATGATAGCGATTTTAAAATTTTAAGGTTTCTTCTTTTCTATCATGGTTAATCGTTCGAATAGATTGAAAATTTTGATCTAAATGGGTTTTAAAAGAACGGTTGTCACATCCAGAGGTCTTGTAAGCCTCTAAACGTTCATCCTCCAGCTCCAAGTGTTTGGGCACATTGTTAAAAGTAACGATGTTTTCATTATGGATCAGATTGACTTTCATGTGCTCCCAGCTAGCAGGGAGTGATCTAATGAAAACCTATACTTGCTATTTATCATACAGGACATGTCCAGCTTCCTTTAGTTCCCTAATCATGTTGGCCATCTCTCGCAGATGTTGTTTCATAGGATTGTTTGGCTTGAGTTTGTAGGTATCGAATTAATCATCAACCTTCTAAGTTTAGTGGTAGAAGTACCACCAAACTTGTCTTTCAACGCTATCCACATAGCTTGTGCAGTTGTGTGCCTCTCAAACTCGCACATTGTGTCATCAGCCATGGCACTCAGAAGCGTAATTCTTGCTATGCTGTTTTTCTTCTTCCAAACTAGGTAAGCCTCTTGGTCTCTCCTATGTTGGGCCGTATTCCTAGCTTTGGGTTCGACCATTGCAGTGGTTAAAGGTTCAACCGCATCTTGTTCCTCCAAGATGTATTGGACCTTTCGGTGCCAGATGTCCCAGTTATCCCCGTTGAGCTTTTCTCCCTTATTAAGCTCAGCAATTATGTTCTTGGTTGCCATTTTTAGTTCTGTGACAAATTTATCCCACATTATTCTACGTTCTCTCTAAAAGAGAAACGTACCATAGAACATTTCACTTATATAGCACAGGAAAGTATACAATGTCTTGTACTTATATCATCCTTGATCAGAAAGTAATGACACTGCAAGATCCATGATCAAGAGCATACGTTTGTACCTCCCATCACATAGATACAGGCAACAATCATTATGTCCTATCAAGGATTTTATATAAGCACTTCAAAAAGTGTGACTCTTAGAAGTCTTATCTTCTAAAAGCTCCTACTTATAAAAAGCATACACATATTATTCACAAATAATCATACAACAATAATTCATGTAATTTAATTAAATGAAATAACACACTTAGTCTGTTTACAAAGCATGAAACCACAAACTTAATATAACAAATGTCAATAAGGCGAATACAAATATTACATCATTTGATATGAACATAAAGGTAATCAAGCATTGCTCTCCTCAGCTTTCTAAGTTTGTGTGTTTTGGTCATAAAGGATGATACTAAATCTATAACCCAGATCCAGTAAAATTTCCTTATACGTTTTCGTTTAGGTCCACCTCTAACCCTTATTGCTCTTATGTACTCCATTATGACTTTAAGGTAGAATTCGGTATTCTTCTTATCAGTCATGTAATGGACGTAGCTGGCAAGCACGCCATTGATGTCTTTTATGTTTGTCAGTTTGACTACATCTCTTTCAGCTATTCTCATAGCTAAAGTAGGGGTACAAGGTTGATTCACCTCTTCTCCTTCCTCAACTTCGATTTCATTAGGAAGATCTAGTGAATCATTAAAGACCAAATAAGGTTTGGTACGGACGGGTTCAGTGGGGAATAAAGATTCCGACTCAGGTCCAAAATCCATTAACTCCTCCGGGTCTTCTTGAGGAACCTCTTCAAGGTCCTCTTCAGGATCCTCATCCTCTGGTTCATATTCTGGAACTGCATTATCCATGTATGAGTATTCCAATGAACCATCTTTGATATTTTCAGTGCTACTAGAAGCCTTTTGCTTCATTTTCACCTAGAACAAAATAATTTAAATTATTTTGAATATTTTGGAATTTATTTCCACATGAAAATACCAGAAAATACACTGAAAATACTCACAAACATATCCTTAATTGTCTCCAAAATTAGCAAATTATATGTTAAAATGAAGATCTTGATTTTAGGGATTTTTAGAGACAAATCGCACCTCAAATGGACCTCCCACGCGCCCACACGTGCCCCTAGAAGGATGAATTAGCAAAAACTTGAAAAAAAAATTTCGCCCACTCGTGATGTCAGCGCGTGTTGCAGCCAGCCGCTGGCGACACCCGCCGTTCCGGCGGCCTCCATGTGCCACCACCTGTCAGGTGGTGGGCCCCACATGTCCAGAAGGCGCGCCGCCACGTGGCATTTCTGGACAAATTTTTTTTTTAATGGACCAGATCCCTCTTTTTTTTTTGGTATGGGCTTGTCCTTTTCTGGCCCAACTGAGAAAACCCTTTTTTTTTTAATTAAGGACAATGGGCCGGTCAAACAGCCCAAAACCGTTTTCCCTTTTTTTTTCTGCAGTGATCAAAACAACACCATTTTGATCACTGTGCATCGTCTTCTACCTTTAGCCAGGTCAAACCGACCCGGCTGGAGTGATGGGTCGGGTCTGACGAACCCGTAGAACCCAGAAACTTCTCTCCTCCATATCTTGGCCGTCCTGTGTCCATTTTTTGTGCATTTTATATCATTTTCTTCATTTTTTCATCCTCTACACAATGGGATAGTTTTGTAGCCTAAAAACTTGATTTTCCAGACACCCAAAAATGAAAAAACGTATGGTCGAAAAAGAATGATGTAGAACGTGTTCTATGGAGGCAGAGACATAATCTATCATATCTACTTATAAATATAAGTCAGAAAACAATCATACTGAAGCATAAATGAAAGGATTTTCATAGTATATATGTGAAGCAAATCTCTGATGCTCAGAAACGAAAAGATAAAAAAAAGGACTCTGAAGCAGAAAAAAACATATGAAAACGCAGGCCACAGAATGACAATAATAGAAAGATAAACCCCGCTCTGATACCACTGAAGGATTTCAAGCATACCTAGAGTATCTCAAATCTCTTCAGATAGCCACGCAGCATCCGGTCACAACGGCAAACTCGAATTGGTGTTACACAGCAAATGCACCAGTATGAGAGGAAGAACACAGGGAACGAAAAAGAGAAGTGGAAGCCAGAGAGATCACACTTCGGTTTTTGCCTATGCTTGTGATAAAAACCACCCCACTCCACAAAACTGTTTCGGCAAATAACCGTTTTGTCTTATCTCAATTTGCAATTTTAAACAAAATGGGGAAAATTGCAATTGTCAACTCAGATATTCTATTATTTGTACCAGAATCCCAAACTTAATGGGTTTGGGTCCAATCCATCAAGGGTGGACTGGCCCATTTTCCTACAATTGTTGTGAATTATTTCTAGCAAGACAAAATGGCAGATCAAAGTGTGAATTTTGAACATAATTGAAAAGTCTCAACAATTACAACAAAACAGCAGAAAGTCCTCATATTAAGCTCTTCGAAAATATGATACGTAGAAACAGAATTAGAGGTAAAAAGAATAGAAGAATGGAAAGAGAATTAAAATTCAGAACTTCATTACATCATAACCTTATCTAATTATGGATCTTCTTCGGCTAATTACATGCAGCTTTCTCAAGTTCTCTCTCCAGTCAAAATCACTATCCTCAGTGGAGAATGCTAATATTTTGGCTAGGTAAGAATAATATGATAGGATGCGTCTAATAACGCCCAGATTGATGTGATTGCCTTTCTTTGCAATAGATTTTAAAAAAGAAGAGGAAGCTACGCCATGGGCTTTCATAGATACCTAGGGCACTTTGTGGTACCTCTGTCCTTGGTCTTGGCTCTCTCCTCCGCCATCCTCCTTTCCCTGAGGTTCACACCAGCTTGCCTTATTTCTGGCCTCTCTTCCTCGTCATTGCAAAACAACTCAAGACCTCCCCCATCACCGTCTGTCACCATCAGCAACATTGGCAAGATCTTCCTTGAGTATGTCCTTGGCCACCATGAGTCATCCTCAGATTCTCATTCCACCAAGTCTGACTATACCTAATTTATAAGCATAATGAAAGAACAGTCTTTCAAGTTGAAGTCATTTATGTAATATGCATTGCCTATAACTAATTTAGCAAGAGCAACAAGCAGAACATTCATAAGAATCTTGACACAGAGGACAACAAAGGCTGGAATTATCTTCAAGCCATCATGCGTACAAGAGAACAGTCAGGAATGCCCTATCAATAAATAAATGAATAAAGATCAACAGAAGAGAATTCCAAAATTTTAAACGACATTTTTTGAGGGATGCAAGACTACAAGATTCTGTCCTTGTCCATTAACCAAAGAATATTTAGATTTCCGCAAGAACAATTGAGTTTTTTTTTAAAAAAAATAAAAGAAAAAACATTATATCAATCAGAAAACAAGCCCACGAAGCCACAACAAAGCCATATGCAGATATAGAATTTTGCAAGTCCAAAAGATGGGAATCAAAAGATACAAGACAGAGAGACATTACTATTGCTGTTAGCCATAACCAACTGAATACTCCAATAATATCCAACTTAAAGTATTCTCAATGGCATCCACAATCCCATGAACCATAATTTCATCAAGTTTCTTTCCCAAGAGTTGCAAGAAACTCTCAAAACATGTTTCTTGGCCTCTCCTGCATTGCAAAACAATGGTTTGTCAGGTGACTGATCACCTCGAACAAGCTCTCTAAAATTTACTACCTTTTTGATAGGGATAGATCATGCCAAACAGCAAGATTGATGGCATATACTCATGCACTAATTATACAGGTTCATAGTGTCCAGATCACCAAAGAAATGCAGGGCATGAACCATTTGGGTAATAAGAGATTCAGCCACCCTCAAGCGGCAAGTAGCAGAACCTAAGATTACATACATAATTCTCAAAATGTCAAACATAATGTAGTGTAGGAAAACAATTACACTTTATTTGTTTTGTCAAGTACGGTTGATAAATTATAAACCCATAACAATGTTAATTCAGTCCTGCCAATCTAATATCAAGATACTATTAACGCAAAGCATAATTTGCCCGAGTACAAAAACATGTTGAAAAAGGCATTATTTTAAATCTGTTCAGCAGAACTCTTTTTTTATGAAACTAAATAATTTATAACACAAATTTCCCCTTTATCTTATTCTTCAGTGTGAGAAAGGGTTTTATTGTTTGACTCTAAGATTTCTCATTAAGTTTCAAGACACTTCACCAGCAGACCACATCCAGTGGCTTAGAATGATAAAATCTATGTGGAAGATATTATTCAGTCAACAACATGCAGGATAAATATAATGTTATAAATTCCAAATAGATCTTGTCTGAATAGTTCTGACAATGCTCCCTAGTATAAAGCTTCCTGTTTCAAATAGAGTATCTTATCTGTTTTCCATACTCTCCCTCGTCTCAAGAGAATGCCTGCTACTATCCATAGATGTGAGGAAAACATCTGAAAAGTAACTAGTACCCTCTCCTCTCCTCCGTTTCTGATTAAAAGGGTAAGAATCTTATGATTTAAATAGCGGACAGCAAGGAACTTAAAGAAAAATAAATTGATTCATGCAGGAAGACTAATTTCCAGCAGAAGTCAGAAAAAGACTTACTATAAGCAAATCCTATCAAGGACAACTGTAAGTTGTCAGTCAGTAATGGGGAAAGAATCATGGAAAAGATTCAAATCCCTCAACATTTGCTTAAGTGAAATACTAACGTATTATATGGTACTTAGAACTGGCTACCATTACTACTATTTAAGTGATTGTCAGAAATGATAATAAAGAGAAATAACCTTGAAAAAAATGGATACATGAACAAGATACAATGGTAAGCCTAAGGAAACATTTATTTTCTAGTCTAAAAGGTTTATTTTGACAACTAAAAATTTTCCATTTTTGCAGCAAGGGAAATCATTTTTTGTCCACAAAATTGGTTCCTTTGCTTCCTTTTCTTTGGAGTTCAGAGTTTACAGAAGAACCAAAGGATCAAGTAGATGCAGTTGTGTGCGATCAGCATATCCGACCCCCCACCAACTTATGAGATCATTTCATCCTTTTCTTTTCCTTAATTCTTTGAACAATGGCTTGGAATTCTTCATACTTTGCTCTCTTTTAAGTTTATGCAAAATTGTCTCAAAGCTTGTGACTATGATATTTCTCAAGGTTTCAGGATGTAACTTATAGATGTTAATCAATTTCATATTTGGATCATGCTCAGGAGTACATACAAGCTCTCTATTAGTTTTTCAAGATTGTAACATAGATATTCCACAATAGATTCTGATGCTTTATTAATTTTTCCCCTGTCATTATACATATAAAATTAACACCTTCACATTAGAAATATCCATCACAAGATCTCCATGCTAATATTTTTATAATCCAAAGTAACTGAACCAGGCACCAAATCATAAAATCTCACCATATAGCAGCATCTCTTAAGCCGGTCAATATACAGTCTACAAGATAGGAACAGAGTTCAAGGATATTCCCTTCTGTTTGCATCTTTCTGCAATGATTTGAGCCTCTTCAAAGCAGTTTTTCTCAACCAACTTCTTAACCACTAAGTTACATATATATGAATCAGGACAGTGTCCGTTTTCCTCCATTGAGTAAAAGATCTTCTTGGCCTCTTCAAATCTCCCAGATTCAAATAGTGCCTCCATAAAAGCACTATATGTGTAATTATCAGGTCTCACACCAGACTTTGACATAGAAACCAAAACCTTTTTAGCTTTCTCGATCTTCTTCATTCTACAGAAACTTTGAATCAGAGCATTATAGGAGAATGTATCAGGCTTTAGTCCTTCATCTTGCATTCTTCTTATAAGTTTCATAGCTCTTGCAACATCCCCAGTCGCACATAAAGACCGAATTAAGATGTTGTAAATGACAGCATTCGGACTGACACCCCACTCAATCATCTCAGTGAAGCATTTAAAGGCTTCCTCGGTTTGGCGTATGCGGCAGAGCCCATCAATTATAGAACTAAATGTGAAAATATCAGGTTGAACTCCAATTTCTAAGAGCATCTTCAGAAGCTCTTGGGCCTTAACTATTGTTCCAACCTTGCAGTGCCCATTAATAAGGGTATTGAAAGTAACAAGATTAGGAGTAAGCCTTTTATGCTGCATATTGATGAAAGTTTCCAATGCTTTATCAATCATTTTGGCTCTGCAGAAGCAATCAATTAGCATGTTATATGAAAAGACAGTAGTAATTAGCCCATCCCTCAACAACTTATTGTGAATCCGATCCCCATCCTCCGTATATCCATCCTTGTATAAGGCCTCCATAAGTGCAAGATAAGTACCTATGTCTGGCTTCACACCTTTTTCTCTGAAAATATCAAATATCTTACATGTCTCTAGAAGCTCTGGTCCTTTTACCAAACAAGCCATTATGACATTGAATATGCAATTGTCAGGGAAATAACCTTTTGCCAGTGCCGTTCTGAAAAACATGATTGTCTCTCTCGTCATAGAATTATTTGTGAGACAATAGAGTATAGTATCACAAACTAACTTAAAATAGTTGGGTGTCATGTCAAGCAAATTGGATAGTAACTCAAGAGCCTTACTTGGATCTAGGCAACGGAAAGTCCCATGAATCAATGTTCTGATAGTTGCCTCATTGGGATACACTTTCTTGTCCTTCATTGTCTTTAGTACTTGGAAGGCCTCATCAACTCTCTTGGCATTACAAAACCCATCAATTAGGATCGTATATGAGTAAACATTGGGAAAATGTCCCCTGCCCTCCATCTGCCTCATTAAGCGAAGTGCCTCATCCACCACACCAGCTTTGCAAACGCCATGAATAAGGATATTGTACGTGATTCTATCCGGATGACAATTATCAGCTGTCATCTGTTGAAATTTAAGATATGCCAAGTCAACGGAATTGGACTTCACTAGTGCATCGATAAGAGCATTATATAACCTTGTGCTTGGATAAAGACCTAAATATGAGATTTGGCCAAAAATATCAGAACAATATTTTGCCAAGCCCAGTCTCCCCCAACTTCCAATCAATAAGCAAAGCAGGTCTTCAGTAATCCGAAAACCAGACTTTTGAATATCCTGAATCAGTTCAACAGATAAAATGACCGGCCCTTTACGATACAACGAGTTCGATAAAACACCTCTAACTGACTGATTCTCTGCTAATGCGGGGTAGATATTCAAAGCCCAAGCATAAAACTTTATAGAGTGTGATGGGTTTTCCAGGTTCTGAAAGATACTAATAACTGAATGAGAATTAAGAACGATCCTCTTAGCGTTTAGCTCGTGTCCTAGCAGTAACACCCAGTCGGCTCTCGATAATACTTGGGAAATATATGCATGATCAACTTTGGTAGTATCACCTTTTGATTTATTCGGACGATTAAGTGAGGGCTCACCTTTTAAAGAAGTTCGGGCTTCCTTTGGAAGAGACTGGGCTGCTTCAGGAGGATTTCTCAGTGCAGATGACAACCGGGCGGGTGATGCTAACGATGAAAACCCCCTCATGTCCCCACTGAAAACTGCGATTTCTTCCCAGATTGTTTATCAGTAGCAGGCATGAGAGCATGACTGATCGGTTCCTTCTCTTCGTGCCGCCCCTTTGCCAGGCGTAAGCTGGAGAAGAAGAATCAAGGGGACCAATGCCATGAGTGAGAATCATTTACAAAGGAGAAGAAGATGGGTTGGCTAATTTGATGGATTTAGCAGGGCCTGGCATTTGGGCAATTCGCAATAGTTCCTACCAAACGCCGCAATCCATTAAGTATACCCCGCGCGGGCAGGACGACCGGACGAGGAGTGCTTCGACTCTGCGCGCTAGCTAAATTTAAAATTTAACCATATAAATTGGGATAAGTTATATAGAAATAAAACCCATTACTAACTCTAGTGCGAAGCGTGCTCAAGATTTTCTCTCGTGACAAAAATTCAAAACCTTTGTTTACTGCTAGAGTAGTCTCATTGAATCTGAACTGTTCGTAGCATAGTAGCATCTAACCTTGTGGCAAAGAAAGAAATTAACAAAAGCTGAGTGAGAACCTTCCAATTTTAAAAACTAGCCTGGGAATGGGTCATGAATTTACTCATTGTGGGACCATGTAGACCAATGTATCATACAGATCTGGCTAAACCTGGTAGATATCGATTTCATTTCAACACTTACAACAAGACACAAGAGAACAAAGCGGATCTTACTTCATTAATCTCAACCTCTTAGTTAAAAGGAGGTGGTTGATCAAGGACACACCAAATATTTTCTAGTTTGTGGGCTAATCTTGCTATCCTATCAACCATCCCATTTTCCTCCCTATTCACATGATACAAATTCACCTGCCAATCTCTTTGTAACAAAAGTCTAATATCATCAATAATATCCCCAAAGAGGTGATTATTATCACAACCCCTTAAAATAATAGTAAAAACCTCAATACAATCACTGTAAACATCAATGTTCCTATATCCCTTAGTCTAACAAAAGTTGAAACCATTTAAGATATCTTGTACTTCAGCAATCATCGAAGGAATGGCTATTAGCTTGTAACTAAAGCCACAGATCCACCTATTTGTAACATTTCTGATTATACCATCACATCCACTTTTATCATCTTTGAGCATCGATCTATCAACTTTTAGAAGTATATAATTAATTATCTTGTACTCTTCTTGGATGTTCTGCCATCCTAGATCTCTGTGTATAAAATTTACATTGTCCTAATAAATCTTGATCCCATTGTTGTGAGCATTTGTCATCCTTCCTGTAATAGTTGAGTTGAAAAGCTTGTTGCATTAATCTATCCACATATCCCAACAAATGTATCTAAAGAATCTTGCCCATTGAACTTTTTTGGTGTATTGTTTTCCTACATCATTCTTCAAATTCCATTTCACCTACTCCATTCCTTGAAGCATTGTAAAATTTGGCTACATCTTTGGACAAATAACAGATTTCTATTGATTTTTTTGCATTTGCATAATCCCTAATCATATGCATTGAGCCTTCCACCTATGTACATCCAAATGGACAAGCATTGGAATATGTTATACACTATCTCATTTCGAGCTCCAAAGTGTACTTGCCCATGGGAGAACAACCACATGAAGGTCTTAATCTTCTCCAAGACCTGCCATCTCCATAGATTACTGCAAAACTTATCCATCAGTCTTTCTGTACCTGCAATCCAAAAATGGTAAGCAGATTTAATAGAAAAATAGCCATCCAAGGAAGGCTGCCGAAAGGTGTTTTTCCTTTCATCTCTCTCTCGTGGTGGGTGCATACTAGTAATGCGATCAATCACAAATTAAGAGAACCAAAGAGCTAATTTCACAATATCATAACATCCCTGTTTGTCAAGATAGGATGTGTTTAGGATCATAATTGGTAGTCCAAACGAGCTTCTTCACAGGCAAAAGTAACTTTTTGGGTTAAAATACTGTTTGGATTCATGTTTTTGAAATATGACTTTTGAGGCTAAATGAACTTTTAAAGTGAAACTCCATTTTTTTGCTTTCATGGCATGGTGGTATGGTGCAGTGAGAGAAACCACTAGGAGCATTAATTATGTTTTAAATTTTTACCTACCTATTTGCCCTCTTTCTGCATGCGCATTTGTCTGTACCTGTGGTTTCCCCGGGGGGGGGGGGAGGACAACAACAAAGATGCTGTTGTGCTGCGTCACCATTCAATTTGATTAATACTCCATGTAAATATTTTGATTTATATGTTTTTTATCCATTAAATATATTTAATTAAGTACTTCAGTTTAAAAAATCAAATAAATTTTATCCATTTATGTTTATCAAGAAATTAGTTAAAATCAATTTAAAATAATAAATTTGTAAAGTATGTATTTTTTTTAAGTATGCCTTTATTAATGAAGAAAATAAGTAAGAGATACAATGAATAAATCAAAAAGAAAAGAGAATATATAGGGAGTAAAATTGAAAAAAAAAATTATTAAATGCTGAGATAAAAGTGAATGTTATTTTATAAAAAACCAAAACCCTCCAACAAAGTTTATTTTATATTTTGAACTATATGGAGTATTTTAGTATTTTTCAATTTCTTCCAAACAAATTATTTTTTTTAGTTTTTATAATTTTATTTTCAATATTTCTTTTGCAATTGTCACATTATATACATATAATATTAGGTATATATTACTTAATAAACTTCATATCATTTTCAGTTATTTTACATCTAAACTTATTTTTTTATTAATCATCTAAATAAGTTTCAGTTTCTCAAACTGATTTTTTTTTTATAAAAGTCAATTTAAACATACTACCTAACTTTTACCTAATCTAACTTTGACAAAAATCAGATTGGAAAAAAGTAACTTCTCCCATCGCTAATCTAAACACATCCATAATATGCTATCTTCTCCTATTTATCAATAAATTCTTTATAACCTAGCACAAAATGGATTAGCAGAACATTCATCTCTGACTAATTCTCATGCCAAAAATAGGAAGAAGTATCATTTCCAATCTTTTTTCTTGTTCCAAGTTTAAATTTTTCTTACGATGCAGAATTTTAACATGGGCCTTCGGCTTTTGACATTTTAATTTTAACTTTTTTAGTAAAATAAAACATGTGGACTAATGAACCAATAAAAATTAGTCGAATAGAGGGGTTAATCTTTTATAATATGACGAATCAAGATTTAAATTTTTACGAAAAAGAAGTGTTCATATTTAGTGTCTGATAGTGTCTCAATTAAAATTATCTCTAATAAAATGATACATATATCTAGATAAAAACATATCAAGTAATCGCAGGCAACAAACCTAATAATCCAAGATCATCTTTTTTGGTACGTAAAATGATTCTTAAGGAAATGAAAACATAAATAAATAAGATTGACAAAAAAACAACAATATTTTTATTTAAAAAAACAAAATGAAATAGGAATATGATCCACAAGATGGGGGAAGAATCTGACAAAAGGTAGGAAGTTGTAGATCGTAATAGCCATATGACGATTGCAGCTGCTCGCCCACTTGTATTTAACAAACGCCCCTGAATGCATGTCAACAGGATTTTAGTTCCTGTTTGGCAACACTTATTTGGAGCTTATAAGTAGCTTATAAGCTCTATAAGCTCGATTGACAAAAGTAGGGTCTGTTTGGATCAGCTTTTTTGCAATCGGGTTTTTGTCTGAAAAGCTACAATAAGCTATAAGCTAAAATTAACAGCTTATGGCTTATGGCTTTTGAAATATGGAGAGAGAAAAAGTTAAGAAATTTATTACTTCTTTTGGTTCTTATTATAAGCCTCAAATAACTAATTTGTAGATAATAAAAAATTAATTAAAATTAGTTGAAAGTAATGAATAAGTTAGAAATATATTTTTATTTTTAAATATGCTCCTAAAAATATACTTTTATTTTTTCATATTTCACTTTATATTTAAAATATTTTTTATGACTTCTTCATATTAAATTATTTTAATTTCATTGTATTATGTGAAATTATTTTTTTAATCATGTTTCATTATTTATTAAAACTCATACCCATTTTGGTAATTTTTCAGTCAAAATTACTTTTACTCAACTATAATCCAAACAAGCTTTTTCCAATCTCATTTTTGTAAACTAGCTTGTCTGAACTCTAATCCAAACACAATTCAGCTTATCCAATTTAACTTTTACCAACTTCACTTTTTCATAAGTTACTTTTTCTATAAGTTGCTTTTTCAATCGCTAATCCAAACGAACCCTTAATTGACAAGCACGTGCGACTTAATTAAGCTCACACATTTCTCAAATGTGTATTTGGTTTTGCGTTGATTAGAAGGAACTATGTGATTCTCAGTGGTTAAACAAATCCTCACCAACACGTCACTTTCTCCTCGTTTCCTTGTTTTATGTTTTTGGCTGGGTACCTTTTTTTTTTTGTACAAGTTTTCTTTTAATCGATCCTATCACTCTGAAATGTTTATTTTGAAAATATATAATCATGAGGGAATTATGGTTTTGCCACCTATATTCCCATTTATTAATTATAATAATCATTTTCCTCATTATATTCTCAGTATATATCATATCTTATTAAATAAGTATATGATTATTTCTATAATTTTTCTTCCTTTTTTTCTTTGGGCCAGTTTCTATAATTTTTCTTTATAAATACTTGTTCTCATATATGCTTTTTCTTCGCGTGCCTTCCTTGGACCGTGTGGTCAGTCAACAAACGGGGGAAGATGAAGACAGTTTTCAATGCTGTCCACACTCGCCCGAACTATCTAATCCCCAATGGTTTTCTCATCCACTCATTCCCTTTATCTCTTCCTCGTCCCACCCACCACCTTCCTCCTCCTCGTCTTCCCTCTCTGAAGCTATCAAAGGCTACTTCACATTCTACTTCTTCTTCGCTTTCCACCATGGATTCTTCTGCTGCCTCTGCCCACTCCGACGACCAACTCGCCTACGACCTCTCCCCCATCATGAAAGTCTACAAAGACGGCCGTATTGAGAGACTTGCCGGCGAAGAGGTTGCTCCTCCCGGCGTCGATCTCATCACCGGTGTCGAATCCAAAGACGTCGTCATTTCTAAAGACGACGGCGTATCCGCCAGGATTTTCCTTCCCAAACTTACAAACCCAGATCAGAGACTCCCTCTTCTTGTTTACTTCCATGGCGGTGCCTTCTGCATCGAAACCCCATTCTCCCCAAATTACCACAGCTACCTCAACGCTATTACTTCTCACGCCAACGTCATCGGCGTCTCTGTCCATTACCGGAGGGCGCCTGAGCACCCCGTTCCGACCGCCCATGAAGATTCGTGGACTGCTCTGAAATGGGTCGCTTCCCATTCCTCCGGTAAAGGTCCCGACGAGTGGCTGAATCGTCACGCGGATTTGGGGAAAGTGTTCTTTGCTGGGGACAGTGCGGGTGCTAACCTCTCACACCACATGGCGATTCGGATCGGGTTAGAGAAACCGCCGGGCGTAAAGCTTGAAGGCATTGCTCTGGTGCACCCTTATTTCTGGGGCGCAGAACGAATTGGATGCGAGCTAAACGATGCTGAATCTGCGGCGAAGGCAGATAATCTGTGGCGATTTACATGTCCGAACACTTCGGGATCGGATGATCCGTTGATTAACCCGGATAAGGATCCTAACACGGGGAAGCTGGATTGTAAGAGGGTGCTTGTTTGTGTTGCAGAGAAGGATCTGTTGAAGGACAGAGGATGGAACTACAGAGAAGTGTTGCAGAGAAATGGGTTTTCTGGAGATGTGGAGGTGATGGAGACGAAGGAGGAAGGCCATGTGTTTCACATGTACAGGCCAAGCTGCGAGAATGCTCTAATCATGCTGCGTCGTATTGTTTCCTTCATCAAACAGGATTAAGCATGTAATTAAGTTTCGATTAGTTCATAATTACCAGGAATTGGTTTGAGCATGTATGAAGTAAGCAATATTGAGTTGTTTTGATCGCGGTTATATATATGTATGCATCATGTGGATTCAAAACAAGGAAGTCTAATGGAGGTCATAACTCATGAGACAAGACTTAGTGAAAAAGAGGAGGAAATTAATACTCCTCCGGTCCTAATTATAAGACCCAATTGACTTATTTGAGGAGATTAAGGAAATAAGTTAAGTTGGTTATTTATAATAAATAAGTGTTGTCGTTCCTAAAATATCCTTGCTAATTAAGTATATTGGCTAAAACTATCATTATTAGAAGGATTATCTTGGAAAAAAATGCATAAATATAAGAGACAAAATGGATTGGGTCTTATAATTATGACCAAATAAAAAATTAAATTGGGTCTTATAATAAGGACCGGAGGAGTATTACTCAAAAATATGAGGATTACAAATGAATAAAGTTTTTTAAAAAAAAAATTGATTTGTTTGAATTAAATGCTTGTTATTATTCCATGGATATTACGTGTTGACGGTTTCCATTGCTACATTTTACGTGTCAATCTTCCCCCCCCCCTCCCCCCTTTGAGGACTGTAAAGGAGGTCAAAGCATAAAGACGACTTTCTCTTTGATCTCTTCTTCTCCTTCTTCATCTTCTTCACGATAATCATAAGGCGCAGTGGGGAATAATGAAGCTTTAATGGAGGACAGAGTAGCGAGCTCGAAGATGCCACCGGCGGATTCCAGTGGGTACCGGGCCAAGGAGCCTCTGCTTCGGTCTAGGACAAGAACTCTGTCACCGGAGAAGGAGCTGCCAAGATATTTTAAAAAAAAAAAAGGAAAAAAAAAACTATATATGGACAAAGAGGGAGACAGGTCACAGCCAGGCCCATGTGCGTGCATAATCAATCGCCAGTAAAAATGTCTGCCACAGCTCAGTTAACAGTAATAGTGTTAAGAGGTCAATAGTGAAGCGTGAGATCGAGATCAAGAGGAACCGGTATACAAGGACCTAATTCAAAATTAATAATACCTATAAAGTATCAGAAGTGGAAGATTAGTTTTTCCTAAAGTTAATTTGTGAATGTTTTGATTCAAAGCAAAAATAGTGAATTTGATCCCCCCAAAAAAATGTAAACTTTGTTCCGGATTAATGCTTTTTTTTTGGGTGAAGGAGGGATTAATGCTTTTTGTTACAACTGAAATTGGACTGTTTTTCCATTATTAACTATATCTTCTCAATTAATTTCTAGTGCAATATAATAGGTCCGTTTCAGCCAATTATACTTGTATCATAGCCTTTTCAGCCGTAGTCATACATCATCTTACACAGAACGTCTAAAAATATATAATAAGCTATGAAATTTGTTGAAGAGTGAAGAAGACCAAACAATTTATAAAGTATAATATTATTCAGTAAATATTCTGGAATACACTGGGCCCACCTAACTGTATATGAGGTCATATCATATCATAACAAAGGTGATTAAGTGGAAAGGAACAGTATCCATTTAAATTATCATAAGACAGGCAAGACACACACACACAAAATACAAACACTCAACAACAACGTAACACGGAATATTATGAGTTATCCGAAGAGACGACTGTCGCAGTACAGAAGCAGTGACACGACGACAGTGCTTATTGAGCTCTCTGATCTCCTCCTCCTTCACCACTCTATATCTCTGCAAACGTTACCCTTTGCTTCTCATTTCAGGGAACGGTGTATCCTGTCCGCACACATACATATATCAATGGCAATAACATAACATCATAAATTTTATCAAAACAAAACTCATATTGTACTACTGAAAACATGTGATATTGTGCAGAGCTGATAATATTCAACTTGCCAATCCGGAAAAAATGATAGTAATCAACTCTCTAATAAACAAATTTTTCTAACCCATATTATCAGGCCCGCAATCAATCACGGGTTAGTCCACCAACCCACAGACTGACCCGTATTAAATTTTTTATTTTAAAAATTTTTTAAAAATTATTTTAATTATATAATTATATATAATATTCTATCAAAAAAATTTTAAAAAATATTTATATAATTTATTTGGTACTTCTAATAAAATATTTTAAGAAAAAACAAAAATATCTTTATTTTTTTTAATATTGAATAAGAAAAAAATTAAAAGATAAAAAAAAAATTGTTGGCTAGTTACCTAAAAACTAACCTGCTTTTAAACAACACTTTCCAACCCGATGCACGTGGGTTGAACTTGACACGGGCCACGCCACCCGTATTACCACCATATAGAATTTGCGTTTATTTCTCTTAGACTGCAATATCTTCTATGATTTGGAGAGAGAAAAGAGCTAGATATTGCTATATGTAAGTGAAACTTAAACTTACTTCCACATTTCTTGCCAGCAGGTCGGTTCCTGATGTTGCATCGCTTTGGAACAGTAACAGCAATGGCGGGATTAATCCTGGCGCTCCGTGCCATGGGTGATAACAGCACTGCACAGAGGCATCTCGGAGACATCCTAATCATGGCACCTACTCTGGCACAACATGCCGGCGGCACCCTCGCCCTCACGTTCCGAGTCGCCGCCAGGCACGGTGCCAGGCTTGCCGCCGCCGACCCTATCGGAGTCCTCCCGCACTCTCCTGCTGCCTCCGCTTCAAACACCACCATCTCTGAAGTCACCACCATGAGCATCAACACTGTCACGGTCAGAATGTTAACGTTGTTCAACGCCATAATTGAGAATTTGTGCAAAAACCTGAAATATATTGAGAATGATTGTGATGAGATAGATTCAGTAGTGTTGCACTGTGGGTTGTATGGACCAATAAGGCAAGGTTTATATAAGGGCAAAAAGCAGTAGTGGGGTGGTTGTGGCTTGGGCGCATTCAATATGCAATGATGGTTCAGTTTTTTGAGAGACTGGATTGATATGCGATCTCTCTCACTCATCTGAGTAGTATCAGTAAGCAAGTAGCTATACCAGTTCATGAAATAAAGTGCATGATATTGTATAATAATGAACCAATACAAAGTTATTAAAATAAGCGTATCTCTGGATTTCGCCACTCAGTTTAATTGATTGACTCAGACTGATTAGCTAGTGAGCTTTTGCTTAAACCCTTCAAAATTACAACGTACCTTTTCAAGTAACGTGCATCTTTCAGTGAGTTAGCTGATGAAATTTACACATTCCTTTCATGTTTACCTTTCTAGGGTGTCTCAATTAGGAAAACCCTGTTAATTATTACATCCACTAAATAAGGATATCTTTTAATGCAAATCTTGTTTTATTTTAATCATAAATATAAGACCTCAATCCTATATTTATTTAATTTTTGTTCAAGGTAGTCCTTGTAATAATGTTAGTTCTAGCTAATATACTTAATTAGCAAGGATATTCTAGGAAAGATAATACCTATTTATTATGAATAATTAATTTAACTAATTTTCTTAATATACTCAAATTAGTCAACTAACTCTTCTATTAAGTACCAGAGGTACTAATATATACCAACATGTTAGTATTTGAATAATAAATTGGAATTGGAGTGTTGGTGAGAGAAGAGAATGGGTTTGTGATCTCTCTAGTGTTCCTTTCGGAGCATGGAGTATTGTTTAATGGTGAGAACAGAAAGAGGGGGTAGGGAGGGGGTAGGTATGTTGAAAAGAGAGTGTGAACATGCAGAAAGTTGGGGAGGCAAAATCCTGGTGCCATTTTACATGCCTCATAATTTCATCCACTAATCCCCTCCTTCACTTCTAATACTTCTACACGTGTATTTGTTATTGGTACCAAGAAAGAACCCTTCCTTTTTCTCCCACTAGTACTGTAGTACCTTCTATGGCTCTCCATTTTTATTCTTTTTTTCCCAAAATAAAAATCTTATTCATTTATATATGTGTGTGAATTTCATAACATCTGTACCTTCTCGATGCTTCCAGATATATATGTTAAATTAAAATTTCAGTATTATTTTTTCTTTTCGGGTCTTCAATTTGCCGCATGCTTTGTGTTTTTATATATATATATATATATATATATATATATATATAATACATGTGACTTATCCTATATCTTAGGTAAGATACTGGTGTAATAGTTATACGTACGTATGCTGAGGCTCTGCCAACGTTGCTTAAAGAGCGCGTGATTAAGGCTATGGTTTGATCAAACATAAATCACTTAATTTTTAATAATCGCTTATTCTTCATTATCGTTTTCTAAATTAAATTAAAAATTCATACACAGACAGAAAAAAGACAAAAGCGGGACTAAGCCCCAAAAGAAAAACAAGGTTAGCCGCGGTACATGGGAAGGGGAACTCCCACTAATGGAAGAGAAGCAAACCTTCTCTGGGGTTGCTCTCCCCAATGAAGAAGATAATTTTGATACAAATCCCTGTGTTAATTGGGGTATAAGAATGCCCATATTTACATATAATTATATAAACAAGCAAATATCCTATTCTTAATGAATATCTATGATGTATGGGATATGAGGTATAATTACAATTGATAATATCAAATTTTGTACCACAATATACAACAAAAACTGTGAAGAAAACAATAAAAAAACAAACTAATGATCGAACAATTAGTACAAAAGCTAGTTAGTTAATTAGTTAATCTATAGTCAAGTTTATGCTTGCAAATTAAAATTCTCAAATAAGCAACTAGTTAGGCAGCCAAGATTTTTTGGCGCTTGTTTATTGCTTCTTGAGCAATGATATGTCTTTGAACATCCAACGCAATCCACTTCACTCCTTCGACATTCCTATTATTCTGATCATCCTTCATATTAATGCTGCCAGAAGTATTAATAGCTTGATCACTCTTATTGGAGTTGTATTGAGGAAGCATTTCAAGTTCGTGCAACGCATTTGTTATGTCCATCACAAGGCGTTCGGCCATTTGGCGACAGAAATCGGCCCTTATCACTACACGCAGCACTATAATGTGTTCAGCGCCCGGCGGCATCGGATACGCCGGCACGACCCACCCGTGCCGGCGGAGCATGGCCGAGATCTTGAACTCGTCGTGCCGGCTTCTGTCCTTGAGCGAGAACGCCACCACGGGAACGCCCTCGTCCTTGGAAACTATGTTGAAGCATCCAGTGTTCACTATCCCTTCCTTTACAACCATCGCATTTTCTCTACAGTTCTCCATCACATTACGGTAGCCCTAGGGAAATAAAAAACCCACAAATAAGATAAGATCATTTTGAGCAAATGACTTGATATCCATAATTAAGTACTCTATCTTCGGATTAATGCGATTAATTAGCAGTTGCGGTAGTTAACTACTTGAGGTTGTACGTATATAGCAAGTAGCAACATTGGCCAAGATGAAAAGTATTTGATAACTATTTGCTCACCTCTTTGCCCAAGCGAATCAGCTGATAATACTGGGCGATAATCTGGCTAGAACCTGCAGTAATTGACGAAGTTTGATTAATGATATATACAATAAGTTTAAAAAGTATACACATAGTTAATTAAGGAGCAGCACGTACCTTTGGAGAAATTGAGGGTGAAGGTGGGCTGATCAGCTCCGAGGTAATTGATGTGGAAGATGAGCTCTTGAGGCAAGTCTTCTTTGGTCCTCCAAAGCACCCAGCCAATGCCTGCATAAACCAGTCCGTACTTGTGCCCACTCACATTTATACTCTTCACCAATGGCAGCCTGAAATCCCACTCTAGCTCTGGGTACAAAAATGGAGCAATAAAACCTCCACTTGCCGCGTCCACATGAATCGACGTCTCCCATCTACGTACATAATAACATTCATCGTTCTTAGTTACGTTATACATTTCTTTTCAGTACAAGCAGATGAATTCCATTCATGTTGTTAATTTCTTACCCAGTTTGTTTGTTCTTTCGGAGGAGGAGGTCGTTCAAGAGCTTGACGTCTTCGAATTCGCCATTGTAAGTAGAACCCAGTATTGCTGCAACACAGATTGTGTTTTCGTCCACCATCTCCACCGCTCTTGCTGGGTCCATCACGTAGCACCCTTCCGACATCTTCACTTCCTTCAATTCCACCTCGAAGTACATCGCAAATTTCTTCCAACACACCTGAACGTTAGAGCCTGTGACAATGTTAGGCCTGTCGAAAGGCTTGCCTTGAGCCTTCCTCATGTTCTGCCATCTCTTCTTGAAGGCCAGCCCCGCCAGCATTATGGCTTCCGAGGATCCAACCGTTCCCACTCCCACGCCGCTCTCACTTTCACTTTCTTCCATCGGAGCATTGAACAATCTTGCCAGCATGTTCACGCATCGATTCTGTAACAATATTCATCAATTCCCACATGAATCATACACGTAATAACAGCATCAGTATTTATGAAGAGGAAGACCGAGGAGGACGTACGTGAAGGTCGGTGGTCATTGGGTACTCGTCCATGTTAACGTAGTTCTTGTTAATGGATTCCATGACGAGCTTGTTGCATTCTTCCTCCATGGAAGTGTTCACGAAGGATGCCAAGTTCAGCTTGGGATCCGCGTCCAGCTTCAGCTCGTCGTGAATGTTCCGGTACGCCGCCTCCTTCGGCATCGCCTTCTCCGGCATACTCAACCTGCAACCTCAATATACACATACTTTTGATGAGAAAAAAAAAGAAAAGCATTCAAATAGAGAAATATACAAGAGCATGCATATGTTTAGTTGATTAAATTAAAGAAGGTAACCTGGGAAGAGAGTGGTTGGCAAAGCGAGGAGCAAAAGCGGAGCGAAAGGAGATTTCAGAAGGTGGTTTTGGGAGAGACATGGTGAAGTGCATCTTGTGGTGGTGTTGTGAGAAGAGGGAAAACACAGAGAAAACAAACTGGGAAGAAATGTGTTTTTCTGGTATATGTTGAGGAGGAGGGTTTGAACAAGGCAACGTTGGAGGCTATTTATATTAATTTTATATCATGGTACGTCAGGCTGCTCTATCTGTCTGATGTAGTCATAAAGCCAAATGAAGAATCGTCTTTGCTCGTCAAGATTCCACGCGTTTTACTTTGCTCCAAGCTCAATTCAAACTCGCGTCCCTCTGCGTTCAAAAAAGACGATGCTAGACTTCCGTTTAAGTTTTATCTTAATCCTAAATATAATAGCTAATATATTTTATTTATTATATTTATTTTTTTTAAATAGTCCTTCTAATAATAATAGTTTTAACCAATAAATTTAATTAGCAAAAATATTTTAAGAAAGATAGCATATATTTATTATAAATAACTCACTTAACTTATTTTCTTAATCTCTCCAAATTAGTCAACTAACTCTTATACTAACTCCAGTCCTTAATATAAAACCTCGTTTAACTTTTATTTTGATTCTAAATATAAGATCCTAATTTATTTTGTCTCTCATATTTATATATTTTTTGTCAAAGAAGTCTATCTAATAATGATAGTTCTAGCCAATACACTTGATTCGATCGTAAAGATATTTTAGTAAAAATAACACCTATTCATTGCAAATAACTAACTTAACTTATTTTCTTAATCTCCTCAAATAAGTTAACTAGCTCTTATAATTAGTATCAGATGTAGTATTTAGGACCGGAGGTAGTATATAAGTTCCGATGCCCTTTTCATACGAATTCCCACGAAAATAATACGCGCAAATTCGGATATTATACGATGCTTAATAAAAGATGAGGGTATAGTTAAGTGGGTCCTGACCAAGTACTAAGTATCAAATAACCTTGAAGAATAAAAATTAGCTAGAGAGGATGCAATATCGTTAAAGAACTCGTTCTTTTTTTCTTTTCTATTTTTCCGGAAAAACTTATTACCCTTCATTTAGCTTCTTATTATACTTATTCGGGAGAAGAAGGTGAATGAATGTATTAAAGTTGTTCATAAATTCTTTATTCCCATATTTGATTGTTTCTTTGGTCAGCGAAAACAGCTAGAAGGTCCCACGAACGCTGTTTTGAGCTATAGCCACGTGTTCTGCATATATTCGGAAAAATGCGTCAACAATTTTTGGGCTTAAAACACACACACGCATGGATATGCATTAATTATTTCCATGTTTGCGGCAATTTAAAATCTACCAGAAAAAACTAAATATAATACAAAAATAATTAATATATACTCTTCCGATCTTTAATATAAGACCTATTTAACTAATTTGATTAGATTAAAAAAGTTAGGTAAGTTAATTAATTATAAAAAATATGATATGTTTTTTGTAAAACACTATAATCATCTTTTTTAATATCCTCCCTCTTTCTTCTACTTGATTATGGTTGAGAGAGTGTCCATAGAAATAATTTAGAAAAAATTGATAAATATGAGAAATAAATATTATATTTAGAATTAAAATCAATTCAACAATTAGGTTATATATTTAGAACCGAAGGAGTATCTTCTAGCTGCTAAAGCATTTTAAAGAGTTTCTGTTTATTTTTAGGGAAAATTGCAAATAAAGACCGTGGAATATATAAAATCGCAATTTGGGTCCTTGAATTTATATAATTGCTGTCAGAGACCCGGTCCCAAATAAGAATTATGAAATGTTAGGTAAAAGACAAAAACGCCCTTCTGTTTTTTTGCAGTCCCTTGTCTACATGCCCTAACTTTATCTTTCTTCACTTTTCAAGTCGTCTCCCTCTTTCTTCACTCCGACTCGTCTCCCTCTTCTTGATGATGAACCATACAAATCTCTTGAAGAAATTGAGGCTAACACCATTAGAAATCTCCTTCTTGATGAAGATGGTCCATCTTCTGGTGTTTTTGATGACTCGAGTTTCAATAATTTACCAAAACTGGTGATAACCTGGAAGATTTTGATCTGTTTGGCAGTGGCGGAGGTATGGAGCTAGAAGGCGATGAACATCTAACTATAGGAAAAGGGGCCAATGGTCCAGATAAAGATCCTAGTTGCTTCGGATGTTTTAAAGGGAAACTTTCTTTTGTTGAACATTCTTCTAGAACAATTTTTGTTAGAAATATTAACAGCATTGTTGAAGATTCTGAGCTAAAGACTCTCTTTGAGGTGCTTCTTTATTGTTTTACGTTGATAGATGCTATGCTAGAATTCTTAGAAAGCATTTTAGACTTTGAATCTTATAAAAAGTCAATGCAATTTCTTGTTTGTTTTGACAGTAATATGATGATGTCTGAACCAAGTTTGATAAGTTGTTGAAAATAACAAATTGACAAGTTCTGATACCCACTTCACGACAAGTTCAGTAATGCGAATAACAAGTTTAGGAAGGCAAATAACAACTTCTGATAAGCAATTCATAGAAATTCGAGTTTCTGTGTTAAGATGACAGCTTTTTCAGATTTCTTTAGCAGATAACAAGTTCTGATACATAATTCATGACAAGTTTAGTAAGGCGAATGACAAGTTTAGTAAGGCGAATGACAACTTCTGATAAGCAATTCATAGAAATTTGAGTTTCTGTGTTAAAATGACAGGTTCTCATTAGGTTTTCATACTTTTTCTGTTAAAATGATTGGATTTTCACATTGATTTATCAAATGACAGGTTTACAATAGAAAATGACAAGTTTCCATAAGATTTTCATACATTTTCATACTGTTTTTGGCTGGAATTGCAATTTGCATATTTCTGACAGCAACAACTTCTGATAAATATGAAATGACAAGTTTATAATGAAAAATGACAAGTTAATTATGGCAAATGACAAGTTCCCATAATGTTTTCATACATTTTCATACTTTTTCTGTTGGAATTATAATTTGCACATTTCTAACAGCACCCACTTTTGATAAACACGAAATAACAAGTTCATAATGGAAAATAACAAGTTAAGTATGGCAAATGACAAGTTTTCATACATTTTCATACCTTTTCTGCTAGGATCACAATTTGCACATTGCTGATAGCAACCACTTCTGATAAACAGTAAATGACAAGTCTACAATAGCGAATGACAAGTTAAGTATGTAAAATGACGAGTTCCCATAACGTTTCCATACAATTGTAAATTTTTCTGTTAAAATAACAATGTGCAGATTTCTGACAACAAACACTTCTGATAAACAGTAAATTACAAGCCCATAATAGCGAATGATAAGTTAAGTATGTAAAATGACAAGTTCCCATCACGTTTTTATACAATTGTAAATTTTTTTGCTGAAATAACAATGTGTAGATTTCTGACAGTAACTACTTCTTATTAACATCTTTTATCATCAATTTCACCTCTCATTTCCTCCTAATGTATAAAATTATAGCACCAGAACTCTCATAAGCCCCTCAAGAAGCATGCTCATATCAACACCAACGGCAAATGCACTATGATGATCATATCCACTCACAAGTGCATCTCAACCATGAAATTCCAAATGTAAATTGTCATATCATATGAACAAGAAACCATCAAATTCTACATATAAGGTGAGAACTTTATTCATTTAGCACTGTATTTAAGGCTCGTTTGTTTCTCACATCCCACACCTTGATCGATTTATCGACCAAAATACAATCATCATATTTGATTTCCACAATTTAGAGCTTTTTTGCAATTATCAGAAGTTGGTGCTATCAGAAATGTGCAAATTGTAATTCCAGCAGAAAAAGTATGAAAATGTATGAAAACGTTATAGGAACTTGTCATTTGCCATACTTAACTTGTCATTTTTCATTGTGAACTTGTCATTCCGTGTTTATCAGAAGTGGTTGCTGTCAAAAATGTACAAACTGTATTTCTAAGGAAAAAAAGTATGAAAATCTTATGGAAACTTCTCATTTTCTATTGTGAACCTGTCGTTTTCATAAATCAATGTGGAAATTCAGTCATTTTAACAGAAAAAGTATAAAAACCTAATGGGAACCTGTCATTTTAACAGAGAAACTCAAATTTCTATGAATTGCTTATCAGAAGTTGTCATTCGCCTTACTAAACTTGTCATTCGCCTTATTGAACTTGTCATGAATTGTGTATCAGAACTTGTCATCTGCTAAAGAAATCTGAAAATGCTGTCATCTTAACACAGAAACTCGAATTTCTATGAATTGCTTATCAGAAGTTGTTATTTTCCTTCCTAAACTTGTTATTCGTATTACTGAACTTGTCGTGAATTGGGTATCAGAACTTGTCAACTTGTTATTTTCAACAACTTATCAAACTTGTTATTTTCAATTATGAACAGAAGCTGAAAATTAAAATAGAAATAAAGAATAAAAATTCAAATTTGTTGGGCGTTGTCTGAGCACCAAGCAATCATCACACACTTGCCGTCGTCGCTGCAACCATCTTCGACTTCAACGCAGAACTCGGTGACAAACTGGAACTCAATTCCTTGCTGAAGTTAGGCTTCAACAATATCTAACGGGAGTCTTGTTGAGCTTAATTATTGTTTCCCTTGGCATCATTCTTCTAAGTCCTGTTATTCACTTGCTTTGGGAGAAGGAACAAAGAAGATGACAGAGGGAAAAGAGAGAATGAGAGAAGTTGGGAGAGATGGGGTTAAGGACAAGGAAGTGGGACTGGAGAAGAAGGAGAAGGAAGGGGAATGAGATGAGGAGGAGGAAAAAGAAGCACGGAGAGAAGGATCGAGGGGAAGAAAAGGAAAGAGAAGGAGATGATAAGATGAAAAAAAGACAAGGAGAAGCAGAAGGGCGTTTTTGTCTTTTACCTAACATTTTATAATTCTTATTTGGGACCGGGTCTCTGACAGCAATTATATAAATTCAAGGACCCAAATTGCGATTTTATATATTCCACGGTCTTTATTTGCAATTTTCCCTTATTTTTATTAGTTTTAAAAATAAAATGTTTATTATATTTAATGTTATATAAAGAGCTTTTGAAAATATTTTTTTCTTCAAAAGTGACAAGCCTATCTAACAGTATTCTTTTGTTGTTTGACTTTTATTGCAAG